CACTGTGTGTGTGGGCGTGTACGGGAGTTCTGGTGAGTGAGTGTTGGCCAAAGTTCAACAGACGGTCATGTTTATAGCATGTGTGTGTGTGTGTGTGTGTGTGTGTGTGTGTGTGTCTGTGCCGAGTGACTCTGATAGCGGAGGCCACGCCGATCCTGTGATACACGATATGGCTCAGCAGCTGATTCGTTACCCAATCCGATAGAAGACCACAAAAACGTTCATCCTTATGAAAAGAAATCTACAACGAACGCGAGCGTTAATGTTAGGGGAACCACTCGTAGAAATATCTCGGATGCTCGACTCTTCGGAACCCCCTCGGACCCTATACGAGGCCACTGCCCGGCTTCTCACGAGATATAGAGACAAGGGAGCATTTTGTGACATCACAGGGCTACCTCGTTCCTTGTTGTCTTCTGGAAAGGAGGTGCAATTACCACGACAGGGGGTCGAAAGCGAAGCTTTGGAACCTCCTGGACACGACAACTCTACACCCTATGAGCTCGGTTCAAAATCGCCGAGAAACCAGTGTGCTTGCAGGATATCAGCGATGGCGTGGCCCCGGAAGACTACGTGGCCATCCGAGAGGAAGATGCTCAGATGGTCGTCACCGTGTTTTCCTGGCGGTCGGATAACTACTTTATGTGCGCTTCCCTTGCGGAGAGCAGCCCCAGAGAAGGCACGAAGCACATGACGGTTACCATACACAGACAACCCTACGAGCTACGTGTGCCTCAGTTTGTACCCGATGAAACTCATCGATTGATTGCGGATATTCTGACCGAATACCAAGTTGTGATCAGCGTAATAGATACGGATATCGGGCTGTCCTTAGTCATTCAACACGAAATTCAGACTCGAACGCACCCGCCGATCCACTGTAAACCATACCGATATTTTTTTGCGGAACGAAAAGTGGCATTGCAAAGAATCAGAGAACGAGGCTAACGGATGGATCGAACCGGCAACCGGACCCCGGTTATTTCTCGTGGTCTTTGTCCTGGAGAAAAATGGGTCGATTCGCATTTGCATTGATTACAGGAAGCTGAATGACATCACGATTAAGCATGTATACCCCTTCCCTGGATTGATGATCTGTTGGACGCGATTCGATGTGCTAAGTGCTTCAGTAAGTTTGATATTCGCCATGGATTTTATCATATCCTGGTCAAGGACGAGGATCGGCAAAAGATGGCCTTTGTGTTATTTGAGGGCACCTGGCAGTGGGTCCGTTGCCCAATGGGAATTTGCAATGCGCCAACTTCTTTCAAAGAGCGATGAACGTCACATTTCAGAATTTGGTCAACAAGACCACGCTAACTCAGAGCATGGTTAATTTCTGCGTCATTGTGTACATGGACGACATCCTAGTCTTCTCGGAATCATTCCACGAGAATGCCCAACATCATGGCAGCATGTCGAATGGACACTTGGGGCGTTGCAGGATTCTGGCTTCAAGATTGCGTTGGAAAACAGTGAGTTTTTCCTCTCGGAAATCTCGTTCCTGGGGTACGTGGTGACCCAGGGAGGCTTACGACCGGATTCGAGAAAGGTCGCGGCTGTTCGGGATGCCCCTACAGGTACGGCGTTGACACAAGTCCGGTCTTTTTTGGGTCCGGCCTCGTACTATCGTCGATTTATCAAGGGTTTTGCATCTGTCGCCCGACATTCAACGAATCTTATACGGAAGGAGCAACCGCTAAGTTGGGACGCTGAGTGTGAACGGGCCTCTGTCACCTTAAAGGAGGCTTTGGCCACAACGCCTATTTTGATTCGGCCTGACCCGGGGAAACAATTCATACTCTTTACGGATTGGCAGCCCGAAGCAATCTCCGCTATTGTGGCTCAGAAGGGGAAAGACGACCACGAACACGTCATCCAGTATGCTTCACGAACGGGACTGGACGAGAGAAGAAACGATTCGGCTCCTCAGGGAGAGTGCTACGTGGTTGTCTGGGGATTCAACACTTCCATCCGTACTTGTACGCACAAAAGTACCTCCTTGTTACGGACTATGAGCCCCTGCTGGCTCTCAAGAGGCTTACCAACTACACGGCCATGATCGGACGTTCGGCTGTGCGACTGCAAGAATACGATTTCGATATCGTCCATCGGAAGACAAAGAAGCACGATAACGCTGACGGGCTGACACAATTGTACCGGCCTAGCAGGGTGGCCAAGGGTGAAGAGATCACACCGTGGAAGGAACCGAAACCAACCGGCGAGCCCTCGTATGACCAGATGGCCATCCTCGCTCGGACCTCCAAGAAGTGATCGACGGACACGATGGCGATGGAGCATGGAGGTAATCCTGAAGGTCCTCTTTCTCCCCTCTCATCTTCCTCTTTCCTTTCCATGCCCGAAACATTTTGTTACTTTTGCGAAGCAATCTCGAGGGTCTACTCGGTCCCTATGTGTCCTAGCGGGGACGGGTATGTCGAGTGGGTAGACTGTCTGCGATGTGTCTCCCGAGCTCACGGTTCATGCATCCAGTATAGAAATGCGGGTAAATCCTGGTTATGTCCCTTGTGCCGCGCTGATAAAATTCTGATAGAAGCTCGATTTCTGGAAGCCATGTCGGAAGGGTTGGAAAAGACCCGACGATTTAGAAGGGCCGAAGTATGGACATATGTCGTTTTGATTGCTACGGTGGTTGGGAACTCCCTCCGAGACTTCACTAAGGAGGACCGGAGGAGGGTCAATGAGAGGGAACGGGACTACCGATGGAATGAGGGACGATTAGAAAAGTAGAAGATAAATGGTAGTGGGGTTTGGATGTTTGTGCCTCATCCGTTCATGAGATATGACAAGGTTAAGTCGGCCCACGAGGAAACGGCGGCCCACTTCGTCGTCCGAATCACGGAGGCGGTAATTGATAAAAACGAATGGTATTGGTCCAATATTCGCGACGATGTTAAATTAATCGTCCAAAACTGTCCCGTCTGTGTCGCCGACAAGACGCCGATTCAACAGCCTAGATCGATAGTGTCCACTGTAGTTGAACGGTCGTTCCAAAGGGTCAGCATGAATACCACAGATATTGGTGTGCCCCCTGGACCAAATAGATGCGAATATTCACTTCTTTTGGTATTTGTGGACCACTTTTCGAAATGGATAAAGGCGTATCCTTGTAAGACGCGACAAGCGGCAGAAATTGTGCGGTATGTCAACCGTTTTCTCGGCATGCATCAGAACACTGATGAAATCTTGACTGACAATGGGGCAGAATTCCGAGGGGTAGTCTTGAGGAGTCTGGTCCTACACGGTGTCTCGATCCGCAATACCGCTCCCAATATGTCACAATCGAACGGACTGGTAGAAAACTCCAACCAGGTAATCAAGACAGCATTACGGTGTAATATCGTGGCCAAGGATACAAGGCCTTGGCCCCATATCGTCGACCATATCCTAGCTATTCATCGAGGGACATCCCACGAGTCTACCGTTCTGACCCCCTTCCAATTACGGACCAATAGTGTGGCCTGTGTAGTCATACCAAGCCTAAATGATGAAACGACCCTTCCACGACGGACCACTAGAGCAACGGCCAAAGACAAGGCCCAACGCCACCTGGAATTAATGGACAAGGCCCTCCCCCAGCTAGCCCAAAAATAATAAAGAATGACTGAAATGGCCCACGCACAAAAGGTCCGGAGCTACGAGGCCCGAAATGAGAACGCTGGACCACGACCCCAGTATAAGTTAGGGGACATAGTGCAGGTGAGGAAATGTGCTCGCCAGGGTAAGCTAGCGCTACGATTCTTCGAGCGATTTCGCGTGGTCCGGCTCGGTCCTTGCGGAGTAAACACTGTGCGACTCGCACCGGAGGTGTCAGTAAGTCGATCGGCTCGTCCGATCATTCGACACGTGTCCTACCTTCGCCCTCTCCCATCTTCCCCTTCTCTTCCATCCTCCACGTCGTCCCTCGACAGCGAGGAGGAAGACAATCATCTCACCTACCTTGGTCCTTCTTCTTCTCAGCCCTTATCTCCCTTGCCATCGCCATGAGTTTTTCCACCGAACAGGTCATCAGCGAGCGGCTAATGGTACCCAGGGGAGCCATCTCTGCAATCCGGCAAGTACAGTGTCCTCGATTGAGTTCATATCTTCTCCGATTCGTGACCTTCATTAGTACAATGGCTATCCACGCTGCGGTGGAGTTCCGATTCACGCAGTTCGGGGCGGCACGTGTATTCGCCGAGATGTCGGTCTTCTTGCGACTGTCTCCACCTAGCGAGAGCCAGGTGTCCGTCGTTGTCGTCTTTGTAGGCGACATCACGACACTGCATCCGACAAGGCATACCGAGATCCTCCGGCAGCTGCGGGGCTGGGAAATAGAGATCACGACTGCGTGGGTGCAATTACTGGCTCGACCACGCGATCGTGTCATGACAGCCAACGACATCGATCTCCAACTTCGGGTGTCCTCCACCACGCTAGAGGTCCTCCTCCCGGAGCTTCGTCCTTTAACCTGGTCTCAAGGAACCATTACCGCCTCTCCACCTTCGGCCTTCCATCCGACACTCCTACGTTTTGGCTACACTGGACTCCCTTCTATCCTTCAGAATTAGGCAGCTGGACGTGCCGATTCTGGACGCGGCCAAGTGGGCACAGTGGTGGCATGCTGACGTGGCACTCAGGTTCTGCCTCCTCGAAGTTGTCTTCCATTGGGCAGAGCCTGCTGACAGAAGCGAGGAGGACGAGATCCCGGACGACGAGGTGGAGTTATTGGTCATCCAGGCTTGGAGGACGAACACGGAAGGAGAGCTTATGGGGATCCTGTTCGGGGAAGTACGCGACAGTCACCTGGATTCGATCACAGACGAAGTGCTGGTGTTATTGACCCAACTGCTGGACGACCTACCTTTGGAGATCCTCTCGCGCTGCGACAAAAGGCCCGGGACTGCCACACTCGCCCGTACCTTGATCCCCCATCTCCTGTGGTCTACGTGCACGAAGCTCGACGAAGATGATTGCTATTATCCCTTCAAAGGCGATTACCTGGTCATCGACGTCACTGATCTCTCCGTCTGGGATCCTCTCATCCGGCGAGTGAACATAGGAGAAACCAGCGAGGAAGCCGAAGAAGAGGAAAAAGAAGCAGCCGAGGAAGAGATCGATGAGGACGATCATCTTCAGTACACGGAAGGAGAGGAAATGCCAGAAGAAGAAGAATCGGAGGCTGAGTCGGACGATCCCGATTATCACGAATCCGAGGATGATGAGTCAGAAGAGGCCAGCTCGGAACGGAAAGAGACTGAGGAAGAAGAGGGCGGATTGGGTGAGTCGAGTGGTCCCGACGAACTGAGCAGGGAAGAAAGAGTAGTCGTGGCACAGAGAAGACGGGCCGCGGCAGAAGGCAAACCGCCGATCGAGGAATCAGGAGGGCCACTGCAGCAACTGCTACAGGGCGATCCAGCGCTCAATCCGGAACTGCCACAAGAAAAGGCCGAGAGAAATGGAGGCGCCACGGCAGAGGGATCGGGAAGCCGTCACCACCGAAGACGTGAATCCCCGGTCCAATCCTCTCCCTGGCCCAGCCTTCGCCTACACTAGTGAATCTCCCTCAGCGGTGGCCAAGCGCGGCCAAGTCCGCGGCCGCGCCCAGGTCCGCGACCCCGAGGACGTGTCCGTGCGGCCGCATGGTGGCCAGTGGGGAGGAGGGTTGGGGATTTCGGAAGCGCCACGGGGCGGTGCAACCCCAACCCCACCGTCTCAAACGAAGAAAAAAAAAAAWAAAAAAAATTGGTGGGGTAGTTTTGCACTGAGTGAAGATAATTGGAAAAAAAAAAAAAAAAAACGCATTTTTTTTCTTTTCTTTTTTTGTTGATTTATTGATTGATTGATTGATTGATTGATTAATTGATTGATTGGTGGGGGCAGGGTCGGCCGACCCCCCCGTTGATTGATTGATTGATTGATTGATTGATTAATTGATTGATTGATTGATTGATTGATTGGTTGATTGATTGATTGACTGATTGATTGATTGATTCATTCATTCATTCATTCGATTTTTTATTTTTTTTTGTTGATTGATTGATTGATTGATTGGTGGTGGAGGGGTCGCCCCACCCCCCTGCCACCCACCACGTGTGTGCACACACACACACACCCATCCATAAAAATATATATATATAGATAGATAGATATATTTTTTTATTTCTCCTCTCCACCTTTTCTGTTTTTTATTTTTTATAATTCAAAAAAATCATATATTTCCAAAATAAAAAAACCGGGTTGTAGGGCTTGAAAATCCCTACAACCCAATATATATATATATATATATATATATATTAACCCATTATTTAATTTTAGAAAATTCGTGTAAATTCATGTCCGCGGCGCGGCCGAATCCAGCCGTGGATGCAGACATGAATATGGCCGCCCTCCGAGCTCGACCCTTGGACGTGTCCGCGGGTGTTTCATAGGCCTACGCCGAGATGCGGGCGCTCGGGCTTCATCCCTGGTCATTATCCCGCTGTCCCCGTGACTTCCTCACTCTTCAGAAGCTCATAGGCCGACCCCCATTTTCTGACGGATGGGTTCACTTCCCGCCTTCCCTCTTCCACCATCTCTACTCCACTCGCCTCCTGGTCATTATCTTCCCACACACTACTACTCGCTCGCTCGCCACCTCTTTCTCCCTCCATGTCCTTCTCCTTAGCGTAGATTGGCAGAAATTTAATAATATAGAGCTTTATTGCATGATCGCGGGCACAATCCCCGTGTGTGAAGACTATGAGGGTTTCCTCGTTGCCGTCCACCGCACCCTCTGCACTCTCTACCCCGATTGCCTCGCCTCTCTCCGTCACCAGCGTCGGCACCTGCATTTTCCCCATATCCATCGCACTGTCCACTATGTCTCGCTCCCCACTAGCGACAGAGAGATCCGTCGCTTCATGCCCCCCCTTCCGCAAGTCCATTCCTCGCCGCATCCACCCGTCATAAGATTGCATTTCCCGAGTAACGTTTAGAATTGAAGCGCACAAATGCCACGGCGGACGACTTCCACACTCGGATCTTACGGTAAGTGGCATGTGCAAGCTCCACGTCGATCCTCGGATCACAGGTCGACACCTGCTGAGAGAGCAAGAGGGAGCTTGCTCAAGATTGGAACCCCCTGGGCGTCATATAAGTGACGAACTATTTTCTGTAATCGCACGACTTTCTGCACGAAGTGGCTTCGGGGGTTGGAGATTAGTTGATCGGGTGAAATGCATAGATAGGGGTTGGGTGGTTAAATTGCATGAATACCCATGTTTCTTTCTTTTTGGCTTTCGGAACCGGGGCCGGGAAAGTCCCACGACAACGAATCAACGATTGAGTGACCACGCCTTAGTGAGCGCGACAAATAATGGTAGCTTCTTGCTCCTGCACCTCTCACCGCAGTGGGGACTTGGCTCTTATTGTATCGCGCCCTTTATCCTGCATGTAACTATAATTTTTGGCGGGCGCAATTGTAATTGTACTTCTTCTTCTTGATTCTTTCGTGTTCCTCGCCTTCTTCCCCTCTGTCGTGCATACCTCGTCCTCCACTCTAATTGGCCTGACCGACTGCATGACCGGATCGATGCGTGGAATGTGGCTGCGTCCCCCACGCCGCAGCTTGGCCATGCAGGAGTAGGCACTTACTTCTCTTCCCCCCCCTCACTTAGGCATAATCCAGGGTTTATCGAGCAAGCATGCACACTATAAGTTTTGCAAGCGCGATTAGTTTGCTCTCTCCAAATTTGGAAGTTAGCCCGGTCAGTGAGGATCGGCTAACAAGTAAGTGAGCAGATGAGCAGAAGTGAGTAGGGCAACCCGATGAGCTGGTGTCGGGTAGGTGGGGTTGACGTGCGGGCCACAACGGACTGTGACGCATGGGCAAACTTGGCTTGCAAACTCGGACTAAGCAGGGTAACGACTCGGTGTTGGTGCAAGGCGACGGACTGCCCGCATCAGAGGTGACGTAGCGTGGAGAGAGAGAGAGGGAGAGAGATGTGTGTGTGGGATGATGCCTTTCTCTAACCCTCTGTATAATTTTTTATTTCAACCTTGGCCGATCTTGTTATGGCCGTTTCGGATCTTCTTGCGAATCATTTTGGATTTTCTGCTTATGGTGTGTGTGGAATGAACTCATGTGCTTCCCTCACCCCTCCTCAAGCAATCTTTGGATGACTAGTTTAACTCAAATTTCGTCACTTTCTAGTCCCCATTCTGCGCTCGGGTTGGATGCGCTCCTCATGCATATTACGGAATTGCCAACCTTCGGATCTTGTGTGTGGGATGATGTCCTTCTTTTTCCGGTTTATGTAGTTTTGATAAGTGGCGTCGGTCCTCTTTTACTCATGACTACCCCTGGTTTGTGTTTTTCCTCGTAATCGGTCCGATTTACCCCCTCACTCCTATTTAATTGTCGTATGGTGAGATCGGCCACGACGATGGTCTACGCGTGACCCTTGTGAGCTTGGGCTATGACGATGTAGGCTTCCTCGGTAACATGCCTTGATGTGCAAACCTTTGTCGATCTCTCGTTTATGCTTTTCTGGAGATTCGCATTGCCCTCGAGTTTGATTGATGCATGAGTTCGATTGATGCCTAAATATTGGGAAAATGCGCCTGCAAAACTAAGTTACCGGGCAGACCAATCCCACAATTGTTGACGCTATCTCTGTCGGATCACATGGATGCATGTCAGTTTTCCGTTCCCTTTTGGGACAGAAAGGAGAATCTAACGAACACTCGGCGGCCGCTGAATGTTTTGAAGTTCTTAATGCCTGTTTCTTGACACGTGCACAGGCTAGCATGACGACAGATCAGACGATCTTCCAACCAAAGGGATATCCAGTCGATCCGATCCAACTGATCGCAAATGTGGTGTCGTGCGCATACATGCAGACTCGACTAAAACGGACATCGCCTACACTCACGACGACAAGACCCGCGCTTGAGTCCATGTCTAAACTCGGAAAATTTCAATAGCATGGATGATGGGACTCCCTTCCACGTCATAGATCGGAAAAGCCTGAGACACCGACGGTTTCGAGAATACTGGGAGTGGAAAAACACCTGTCTTCTCGCACAACCCCGCCCCAACCCTCCAAAATTCCCCTTTCGGACCGGAAACGAATGTGTCTGTGAGTGAGACATTGAACGGGCCTTAAGCGCGATCCCTTTTCCCTCCCAATTCCCCAACTCACACGCAAGCCAAGTCATCGCCGAACCCGGTGTTGTCATCATTGAGACAGACTTCGCTCCCTACCGCCTCGTGTTGCCTTTTGACTACCTGACGGCGGCCCCGTGGCACGCGCTCGCCCCCTATTGGCCTCGAACCCTGTGCTCCGAGTGCCAGCAGGACAGCGAGTACCGAGCCGCGGGGTTCGTTCGACAAACCCGGACTAAGGCCGAGCAATGAGCGCACAGCCTGCACCTGAGGCCCGCTTTGTCCGACTCGGAGGCTTGTCACGAGCGACGCTGATGATTTACTAGGTAAGGCGGCACGCATAGCGTTCCGCCGGTTCACCAAATCTGAGCCCGGCCTCGGCGACGAAACTCGCGGGGATGGCAATGACATCCCCCAAGGCATAAAAGTCGGATGCGGTTTGCACTTGCTAATCCTGCGTAACTGCCACCAGGGTTGTCGACCCCCGGCCCCGGGACCCCGCCGGGGTTCCGAGGTTCCGGGGGTCGGCACCCGGGACCCCGGTCCCCTGTATGGGGAAAAAAAAAAAAAAAAAAAAAAAA